CTCTGTCAGGAGCTGGAACATTACCGCCTTGATCTCTGTGTTATACAGGAGGTCTCGTGGACTGGATCTGGTGTCTGTGTGGAGGAGAGGCTGCCGCTACTCTGTCGGGAGCTGGACCGGTACCGCCTGCATCTCTGTGTTACACAGGAGGTCTCGTGGACTGGATCTGGTGTCTGTGTGTGTGGAGGAGAGGCTGCCGCTACTCTGTCAGGAGCTGGAACATTACCGCCTGGATCTCTGCGCTATCAAGGAGGTCCGGTGGACTGGATCTGGTGTCTGTGTTTGTGTGGAGAGGCTGCCGCTACTCTGTCAGGAGCTGGACCGGTACCGCCTGGATCTCTGTGTGATACAGGAGGTCTCGTGGACTGGATCTGGTGTCTGTGTGTGTGGAGGAGAGGCTGCCGCTACTCTGTCGGGAGCTGGAACATTACTGCCTGAATCTCTGTGTGATACAGGAGGTCTTGTGGACTGGATCTGGTGTCTGTGTGTGTGGAGGAGAGGCTGCCACTAGTCTGTCAGGAGCTGGAACATTACTGCCTGAATCTCTGTGTGACACAGGAGGTCTCGTGGACTAGATCTGGTGTCTGTGTGTGTGGAGGAGAGGCTGCCGCTACTCTGTCGGGAGCTGGACCGGTACCGCCTGGATCTCTGTGTTACACAGGAGGTCTTGTGGACTGGATCCGGTGTCTGTGTGTGTGCGGAGAGGCTGCCGCTACTCTGTCAGGAGCTGGAACATTACCGCCTTAATCTCTGTGTTATACAGGAGGCCTCTAGGACTGGATCTGGTGTCTGTGTGTGTGTGTTTAGAGGCTGCCGCGACTCTGTCAGGAGCTGGACCGGTACCGCCTGGATCTCTGTGTGATACAGGAGGTCTCAAGGACTGGTTCTGGTGTCTGTGAAGAGGCTGCCGCTACTCTGTCGGGAGCTGCACCGGTACTGCCTGGATCTCTGTGTGATACAGGAGGTCTCTAGGACTGGATCTGGTGTTTGTGTGTGTGTGGAGAGGCTGCCGCTACTCTGTCAGGAGCTGCACCGGTACCGCCTGGATCTCTGTGTGATACAGGAGGTCCAGTTGACTGGATCTGGTGTCTGTGTGTGTGGAGGAGAGGCTGCCACTACTCTGTCAGGAGCTGCACCGGTACCGCCTGGATCTCTGTGTGATACAGGAGGCCTCTAGGACTGGATCTGGTGTCTGTGAGTGTGAGGAGAGGCTGCCGCTACTCTGTCGGGAGCTGGACCGGTACCGCCTGGATCTCTGTGTGATACAGGAGGCCTCGTGGACTGGATCTGGTGTCTGTGTGTGTGGAGGAGAGGCTGCCACTACTCTGTCAGGAGCTGGAACATTACCGCCTGGATCTCTGTGTTATACAGGAGGTCACGTTGACTGGATCTGGTGTCTGTGTGTGTGGAGGAGAGGCTGCCGCTACTCTGTCAGGAGCTGGAACATTACCGCCTGGATCTCTGTGTTATACAGGAGGTCTCAAGGACTGGATCTGGTGTCTGTGTGTGTGTGGAGAGGCTGCCGCTACTCTGTCAGGAGCTGGAACATTACCGCCTGGATCTCTGCGCTATCAAGGAGGTCTCAAGGACTGGATCTGGTGTCTGTGTGTGTGGTGGAGAGGCTGCCGCTACTCTGTCAGGAGCTGGACCGGTACCGCCTTGATCTCTGTGTGATACAGGAGGCCTCGTGGACTGGATCTGGTATCTGTGAGTGTGGAGGAGAGGCTGCCGCTACTCTGTCGGGAGCTGGAACAGTACCGCCTGGATCTCTGTGTGATACAGGAGGCCTCGTGGACTGGATCTGGTGTCTGTGTGTGTGGTGGAGAGGCTGCCGCTACTCTGTCAGGAGCTGGAACATTACTGCCTGGATCTCTGTGTGATAAAGGAGGTCTCATGGACTGGATCAGGTGTCTGTGTGTGTGGTGGAGAGGCTGCCACTACTCTGTCAGGAGCTGGACCGGTACCGCCTGGATCTCTGTGCGATACAGGAGGCCTCTAGGACTGGATCTGGTGTCTGTGTGTGTGTGGAGAGGCTGCCGCTACTCTGTCAGGAGCTGGAACATTACTGCCTGAATCTCTGTGTGATACAGGAGGCCTCGTGGACTGGACCTGGTGTCTGTGTGTGTGGTGGAGAGGCTGCCGCTACTCTGTCAGGAGCTGGACCGGTACCGCCTGGATCTCTGTGTGATACAGGAGGTCTCGTGGACTGGATCTGGTGTCTGTGTGTGTGGAGGAGAGGCTGCCGCTACTCTGTCGGGAGCTGGATCAGTACCACCTGGATCTCTGTGTGATACAGGAGGCCTCTAGGACTGGATCTGGTGTCTGTGTGTGTGGAGGAGAGGCTGCCGCTACTCTGTCAGGAGCTGGACCGGTACCGCCTGGATCTCTGTGCGATACAGGAGGCCTCTAGGACTGGATCTGGTGTCTGTGTGTGTGTTTAGAGGCTGCCGCTACTCTGTCAGGAGCTGGACCGGTACCGCCTGGATCTCTGTGTGATACAGGAGGTCCGGTGGACTGGACCTGGTGTCTGTGAGTGTGGAGGAGAGGCTGCCGCTACTCTGTCAGGAGCTGGAACAGTACCGCCTGGATCTCTGTGTGATACAGGAGGCCTCGTGGACTGGATCCGGTGTCTGTGTGTGTGTTTAGAGGCTGCCGCTACTCTGTCGGGAGCTGGACCGGTACCGCCTGGATCTCTGCGTGATACAGGAGGTTTCATGGACTGGATCTGGTGTCTGTGTGTGTGTGGAGAGGCTGCCGCTACTCTGTCAGGAGCTGGACCGGTACCGCCTGGATCTCTGCGCTATCAAGGAGGTCTCAAGGACTGGATCTGGTGTCTGTGTGTGTGTGGAGAGGCTGCCGCTACTCTGTCGGGAGCTGGACCGGTACCGCCTGGATCTCTGTGTGATACAGGAGGCCACGTGGACTGGATCTTGTGTCTGTGTGTGTGGAGGAGAGGCTGCCACTACTCTGTCAGGAGCTGGAACGATACCGCCTGGATCTCTGTGTTATACAGGAGGCTTCTAGGACTGGATCTGGTGTCTGTGTGTGTGGAGGAGAGGCTGCCGCTACTCTGTCAGGAGCTGGACCGGTACCGCCTGGATCTCTGCGCTATCAAGGAGGTCTCAAGGACTGGATCTGGTGTCTGTGTGTGTGGAGGAGAGGCTGCCGCTACTCTGTCAGTAGCTGCACCGGTACCGCCTGGATCTCTGTGTTACACAGGAGGTCTTGTGGACTGGATCTGGTGTCTGTGTGTGTGGAGGAGAGGCTGCCGCTACTCTGTCAGGAGCTGGACCGGTACCGCCTGGATCTCTGCGCTATCAAGGAGGTCCTCGGGGGTCGAGTCGTACATGGAGGGTGACTCTAATGCCCGGGTTGGGTCATGATGCTGGCACCTGGGCTGGAGTGACGGAAGGCATGGGCCTCATCAGCTCAATAGCAACGGCAGGAGGCCGCTAGAATTCTTCGCGACCCCGTGGACTTGTGAACAAACACGCTATGGTGGTGGTGGTGGTGGTGGTGATAGTGGTGGTGGTGGTGATGGTGGTGATGGTGATGGTGGTGATGGTGATGGTGGTGATGGTGATGGTGGTGATGGTGGTGATGGTGGTGGTGATGGTGGTGGTGGTGATGGTGGTGGTGATGGTGATGGTGGTGATGGTGGTGGTGGTGATGGTGGTGGTGGTGATGGTGGTGGTGGTGATGATGGTGGTGGTGATGGTGGTGGTGGTGATGGTGGTGGTGGTGATGGTGGTGGTGGTGATAGTGGTGGTGATGGTGGTGGTGATGGTGGTGGTGGTGATGGTGGTGGTGGTGATGGTGGTGGTGGTGATGGTGGTGATGGTGGTGGTGGTGATGGTGGTGATGGTGTTGGTGGTGGTGGTGGTGATGGTGGTGGGGATGGTGGTGATGGTGGTGATGGTGGTGGTGGTGATGGTGATGATGGTGGTGGTGATGGTGGTGATGGTGGTGGTGATGGTGGTGATGGTGGTGGTGGTGATGGTGGTGGTGGTGATGGTGGTGGTGGTGGTGATGATGGTGGTGGTGGTGGTGGTGATAGTGGTGGTGGTGACGATGGTGGTGATGGTGGTGGTGGTGATGGTGGTGATGGTGGTGATGTTGATGATGATGATGATGGTGGTGATGATGGTGATGATGTTGATGGTGATGTTGACGATGATGTTGATGATGCTGCTGATGATGATGGTGATGATGATGATGCTGCTGATGATGATGATGCTGATGATGATGGTGATGATGATGATGCTGATGATGATGCTGATGATGATGGTGATGTTGATGATGATGATGCTGATGATGATGGTGATGATGATGTTGATGATGTTGATGATGATGATGCTGATGATGTTGTTGATGATGTTGATGATGATGATGCTGATGATGTTGATGATGATGTTGATGATGATGATGCTGGTGATGATGTTGATGATGATGTTGATGATGATGATGCTGGTGGTGATGATGTTGATGATGATGTTGATGATGATGTTGATGATGCTGATGATGGTGATGATGTTGATGATGATGTTGATGATGATGTTGATGATGTTGATGATGATGTTGATGATGATGTTGATGATGATGTTGATGATGATGGTGATGATGTTGATGGGCTCACCTCGTTATGTGAGGATGTCGCTAGGCACGAGATGATGTTGATGTTGATGATGATGATGTTGATGATGATGTTGATGATGATGATATTGATGATGATGTTGATGATGCTGATGTTGATGGTGATGCTGATGATGCTGATGATGTTGATGATGATGCTGATGATGCTGATGATGTTGATGATGATGGTGATGATGATGTTGATGATGTTGATGATGATGTTGATGTTGATGATGATGCTGATGATGTTGATGATGATGTTGATGTTGATGATGCTGATGATGTTGATGATGATGATGTTGATGATGATGTTGATGTTGATGATGTTGATGATGATGATGTTGATGATGTTGATGATGCTGATGTTGATGGTGATGCTGATGATGCTGATGATGTTGATGATGATGCTGATGATGTTGATGATGATGCTGATGATGTTGATGATGATGGTGATGATGATGTTGATGATGTTGATGATGATGTTGATGATGATGATGCTGATGATGTTGATGATGATGTTGATGTTGATGATGATGCTGATGATGTTGATGATGATGTTGATGATGATGATGCTGATGATGTTGATGATGATGTTGATGTTGATGATGATGCTGATGATGTTGATGATGCTGATGATGTTGATGATGATGTTGATGTTGATGATGATGCTGATGATGTTGATGATGATGGTGATGGTGATGATGATGTTGATGTTGATGATGATGCTGATGATGTTGATGATGATGGTGATGATGTTGATGGGCTCACCTCGTTATGTGAGGATGTCGCTAGGCACGAGATTATGTTGATGCTTCGACCGATGTCAGCCATCAGATTCTCAACCCTAAAGCAGCAGCAACAGCAGCATCATCATCATCAGTATCATCATCATCAGTATCATCATCAGTAATAGTATCATCATCATCAGTATCATCATCATCATCAGTAGTAGCAGTAGTAGTATCATCATCATCAGTATCATCAGTAGTAGTAGTATCATCATCAGTAGTAGTATCATCATCATCAGTAGTATCATCATCATCATCATCAGTAGCATCATCATCATAGTAGTATCATCATCATCATCAGTAGTAGTATCATCATCATCAGTATCATCATCAGTAGTAGTAGTATCATCATCAGTAGTATAATCATCAGTAGTAGTAGTAGTAGCATCATCATCAGTATCATCATCATCAGTAGTATCATCATCAGTATCATCATCAGTAGTAGTATCATCATCAGTATCATCAGTAGTAGTATCATCATCATCAGTATCATCAGTAGCATCATCATCACTAGTAGTATCATCATCATCAGTAGCATCATCATCATCATCAGTAGTAGTATCATCATCAGTAGCATCATCATCAGTAGCATCATCATCAGTAGCATCATCATCAGTAGTAGTAGTATCATCATCATCAGTAGTAGTAGCATCATAAGTAGTATCATCATCAGTAGAAGTATCAACATCATCAGTATCATCATCATCAGTAGTAGTATCATCATCAGTAGTAGTATCATCATCATCAGTAGTAGTATCATCATCACCACCATCACCACCACCGCCACCATCGCCACCATCGCCACCATCACCACCATCACCATCACCACCACCACCATCATCACAACCACCACCACCACCATCACCACCATCGCCACCATCACCATCACCACCATCACCACCACCATCACTACCACCATCACCACCACTACCACCACCACCATCACCACCACTACCACCACCACTACCACCACCACCACCATCACCACCGCTACCACCATCACCACCACCATCACCACCATCACCACCACCATCATCACCATCACCATCACCACCATCACCACCACCATCACCACCATCACCATCACCACCATCGCCACCACCATCACCATTACCACCACCATCACCGCCACCACCACCACCATCACCATCATCACCATCACCATCACCACCATCACCACCACCATCACCACCATCACCATCACCACCATCACCACCATCACCACCACCATCATCACCATCACCACCATCATCACCACCACCACCATCACCACCATCGCCACCACCATCACCATCACCACCACCATCACCGCCACCACCACCACCATCACCATCATCACCACCATCACCACCATCACCACCACCATCACCACCACCATCACCATCACCACCACCACCATCACCACCACCAGCATCACCACCACCATCACCACCACCATCACCACCACCATCACCACCATCATCACCATCACCACCATCACCACCACCACCATCACCACCACCATCACCACCATCACCACCATCACCACCACCACCACCATCACCACCACCACCATCACCACCACCATCACCACCATCATCACCACCATCACCATCACCACCACCACCATCACCACCACCATCACCATCACCACCACCAGCATCACCACCACCATCACCACCACCATCACCACCACCATCACCACCATCATCACCATCACCACCATCACCACCACCACCATCACCACCACCATCACCACCATCACCACCATCACCACCACCACCACCATCACCACCACCACCATCACCACCACCATCACCACCATCATCACCACCATCACCATCACCACCACCACCATCACCACCACCATCACCATCACCACCACCACCATCACCACCATCACCACCACCACCATCACCACCACCACCGCCAACCATCACCATCACCACCACCACCACCATCACCTCAGTAAGCTGTGTTCTGATTGGTTGGGGCTCTCTGCCATCTGATTGGCTGCCTGCAGTGCACTCTGCGAGAGCTCTCTCAGCCGGGCCGTGATTCGCTGACAGCTACCTGAGACCGACCAATCAGAGAGAGAGACAACCAAAGTGGGTGGGTGAGTGAGTGAGTGAGTGGTGAGTGAGTGGGTGAGTAAGTGGTGAGTGGGTGAGTGAGTGGTGAGTAATTGGTGAGTAAGTGGTGGGTGAGTAGTGAGTGAGTGGGTGAGTGGGTGAGTGAGTGGTGAGTAATTGGTGAGTAAGTGGTGAGTAAGTGGTGAGTGATTGAGTGAGTAATTGGTGAGTGATTGAGTGAGTGATTGAGTGAGTATTTGGTGAGTGAGTGATTGAGTGAGTAAGTGGTGAGTAAGTGGTGAGTAAGTGGTGAGTAAGCGGTGAGTGAGTAGTGAGTGAGTGGTGAGTAATTGGTGAGTAAGTGGTGAGTAAGTGGTGAGTGGGTGAGTGATTGAGTGAGTAAGTGGTGAGTAAGTGGTGAGTGAGTGGTGAGTAAGTGGTGAGTAATTGGTGAGTGAGTGAGTGAGTGGGTGAGTGGTGAGTAATTGGTGAGTAAGTGGTGAGTAATTGGTGAGTAAGTGGTGAGTAAGTGGTGAGTAATTGGTGAGTAAGTGGTGAGTAATTGGTGAGTAAGTGGTGAGTAAGTGGTGAGTAAGTGGTGAGTAAGCGGTGAGTGAGTAGTGAGTGAGTGGTGAGTAATTGGTGAGTAAGTGGTGAGTAAGTGGTGAGTAAGTGGGTGAGTGATTGAGTGAGTAAGTGGTGAGTAAGTGGTGAGTAAGTGGTGAGTGATTGAGTGAGTAAGTGGTGAGTAAGTGGTGAGTAAGTGGTGAGTGAGTGGTGAGTAAGTGGTGAGTAATTGGTGAGTGAGTGAGTGATTGAGTGAGTGAGTGGGTGAGTGGTGAGTAATTGGTGAGTAAGTGGTGAGTAAGTGGTGAGTAATTGGTGAGTAAGTGGTGAGTGAGTGGGTGAGTGGGTGAGTGAGTGGGTGAGTGGGTGAGTGATTGAGTGAGTGAATTGGTGAGTAAGTGGTGAGTAAGTGGTGAGTGAGTGGTGAGTAAGTGGTGAGTAAGTGGTGAGTGATTGAGTGAGTAAGTGGTGAGTAAGTGGTGAGTAAGTGGTGAGTGAGTGAGTGAGTGGGTGAGTGATTGAGTGAGTGATTGAGTGAGTAAGTGGTGAGTAAGTGGTGAGTAATTGGTGAGTAATTGGTGAGTAAGTGGTGAGTAAGTGGTGAGTGAGTGAGTGAGTGGTGAGTAAGTGGTGAGTAAGTGGTGAGTGATTGAGTGAGTAAGTGGTGAGTAAGTGGTGAGTAAGTGGTGAGTAAGTGGTGAGTAAGTGGTGAGTGAGTGGTGAGTAAGTGGTGAGTAAGTGGTGAGTGAGTGGTGAGTAAGTGGTGAGTAAGTGGTGAGTGAGTGAGTGGGTGAGTGATTGAGTGAGTGATTGAGTGAGTAAGTGGTGAGTAAGTGGTGAGTAATTGGTGAGTAATTGGTGAGTAAGTGGTGAGTAAGTGGTGAGTGAGTGAGTGAGTGATTGAGTGAGTAAGTGGTGAGTAAGTGGTGAGTAAGTGGTGAGTAATTGGTGAGTAATTGGTGAGTAAGTGGTGAGTAAGTGGTGAGTAAGTGGTGAGTGTTACTCTGTCTCCAGCTGTCGGTGACTTCCATGCTGTTGAGGCGAAGATAAACCAGCAGTGAACCCTGAGCCACGGGGAGAGAGACACACAGTGAGTGTTATAATACTACTAATAATACTACTAATAATACTACTACTAATAACACTACTACTATGTCTGTGTGTGAGTGTTATAATAATACTACTATAATACTAATAATACTACTATAATACTACTAATAGGCGAAGATAAACCAGCAGTGAACCCTGGGCCACGGGGAGAGAGACACACAGTGAGTGTTACAATAATACTACTACTATAATACTAATACTACTAATAATACTACTAATACTACTATAATACTACTAATAATACTACTAATACTACTATAATACTACTATTATACTACTATGTCTGTGTGTGTGTTATAATACTACTACTAATACTACTACTAATACTACTATAATAATACTACTATAATACTACTAATACTACTAATAATACTACTAATAATACTACTATAATACTACTAATAATACTACTAATAATACTACTATAATACTACTAATAATACTACTACTATAATACTACTATACTACTATAATACTACTAATAATACTACTATAATACTACTAATAGGCGAAGATAAACCAGCAGTGACCCCTGGGCCACGGGGAGAGAGACACACAGTGAGTGTTATAATAATACTACTAATAATACTACTACTAATACTACTATGTCTGTGTGTGAGTGTTATAATAATACTAATAATAATACTACTAATACTACTACTATAATACTACTATGTCTGTGTGAGTGTTATAATAATACTACTAATAATACTACTATGTCTGTGTGTGAGTGTTATAATAATACTACTATAATACTACTATAATACTAATAATACTACTAATAATACTACTATAATACTACTAATAGGCGAAGATAAACCAGCAGTGACCCCTGGGCCACGGGGAGAGAGACACACAGTGAGTGTCATAATAATACTACTAATAATACTACTAATAATACTACTATAATACTATAATACTACTAATACTACTAATAATACTACTATAATACTACTACTATAACACTACTAATAATACTACTATGATACTACTATAATACTACTATGTCTGTGTGTTATAATACTACTACTAATACTACTAATAATACTACTAATAATACTATAATACTAGTATAATACTACTATAATACTACTAATAATACTACTATAATACTACTACTAATAACACTACTACTATGTCTGTGGGTGAGTGTTATAATAATACTACTATAATACTAATAATACTACTATAATACTACTAATAATACTATAATACTACTAATACTACTAATAATACTACTATGTCTGTGTGTGAGTGTTATAATAATAATACTAATAATACTACTACTAATACTACTAATAATAATACTATAATACTACTAATAATACTACTAATAATACTACTATAATACTACTAATACTACTACTAATAATACTACTATAATACTACTAATACTACTACTACTATAATACTACTAATAATACTACTATAATACTAATAATACTACTAATTATACTACTATAATACTACTAATAGGCGAAGATAAACCAGCAGTGAACCCTGAGCCACGGGGAGAGAGACACACAGTGAGTGTTATAATACTACTACTATAATACTAATACTACTAATAATACTACTAATACTACTATAATACTACTAATAATACTACTAATACTACTATAATACTACTATTATACTACAATGTCTGTGTGTGTGTTATAATACTACTACTAATACTACTATAATAATACTACTATAATACTACTAATACTACTAATAATACTACTAATAATACTACTATAATACTATAATACTACTAATACTACTAATAATACTACTAATAATACTACTATAATACTATAATACTACTAATAATACTACTAATACTACTAATAATACTACTATAATACTACTATAATACTATAATACTACTAATAATACTACTAATACTACTAATAATACTACTATAATACTACTAATAGGCGAAGATAAACCAGCAGTGACCCCTGAGCCACGGGGAGAGAGACACACAGTGAGTGTTATAATAATACTACTAATAATACTACTAATACTACTATAATACTACTAATAATACTACTAATACTACTATAATACTACTATTATACTACTATGTCTGTGTGTGTGTTATAATACTACTACTAATACTACTACTAATACTACTATAATAATACTACTATAATACTACTATAATACTACTAATACTACTAATAATACTACTATAATACTATAATACTACTAATAATACTACTAATAATACTACTATAATACTACTAATAATACTACTAATACTACTAATAATACTACTATAATACTACTATAATACTATAATACTACTAATAATACTACTATAATACTACTAATAATACTACTACTATAATACTACTATACTACTATAATACTACTAATAATACTACTATAATACTACTATAATACTACTAATAATACTACTACTATAATACTACTATACTACTATAATACTACTAATAATACTACTATAATACTACTAATAGGCGAAGATAAACCAGCAGTGACCTCTGGGCCACGGGGAGAGAGACACACAGTGAGTGTTACAATAATACTACTACTATAATACTACTACTAATAATACTACTAATACTACTATAATACTACTAATACTACTACTAATAATACTACTATAATACTACTAATACTACTACTACTATAATACTACTAATAATACTACTATAATACTACTAATAGGCGAAGATAAACCAGCAGTGACCCCTGGGCCACGGGGAGAGAGACACACAGTGAGTGTTATAATAATACTACTAATCATACTACTAATACTACTAATAATACTACTATAATACTACTAATAATACTACTATAATACTACTAATAATACTACTATAATACTACTATAATACTACTAATAATACTACTAATAATACTACTATAATACTATAATACTACTAATAATACTACTATAATACTACTACTATACTACTATAATACTACTAATAATACTACTATAATACTACTAATAGGCGAAGATAAACCAGCAGTGACCCCTGGGCCACGGGGAGAGAGACACACAGTGAGTGTTATAATAATACTACTAATAATACTACTACTAATACTACTATGTCTGTGTGTGAGTGTTATAATAATACTACTAATAATACTACTAATACTACTACTATAATACTACTATGTCTGTGTGAGTGTTATAATAATACTACTAATAATACTACTAATAATACTACTATGTCTGTGTGTGAGTGTTATAATAATACTACTAATAATACTACTAATACTACTACTATAATACTACTATGTCTGTGTGAGTGTTATAATAATACTACTAATAATACTACTATGTCTGTGTGTGAGTGTTATAATAATACTACTATAATACTACTATAATACTAATAATACTACTAATAATACTACTATAATACTACTAATAGGCGAAGATAAACCAGCAGTGACCCCTGGGCCACGGGGAGAGAGACACACAGTGAGTGTCATAATAATACTACTAATAATACTACTAATAATACTACTATAATACTACTAATACTACTAATAATACTACTATAATACTACTACTATAACACTACTAATAATACTACTATGATACTACTATAATACTACTATGTCTGTGTGTTATAATACTACTACTAATACTACTAATAATACTATAATACTAGTATAATACTACTATAATACTACTAATACTACTAATAATACTACTATAATACTACTACTAATAACACTACTACTATGTCTGTGTGTGAGTGTTATAATAATACTACTATAATACTAATAATACTACTATAATACTACTAATAATACTATAATACTACTAATAATACTACTAATACTACTAATAATACTACTATGTCTGTGTGTGAGTGTTATAATAATACTACTACTAATACTACTAATAATAATACTATAATACTACTAATAATACTACTATAATACTACTAATAATACTACTATAATACTACTAATACTACTACTAATAATACTACTATAATACTACTAATACTACTACTACTATAATACTACTAATAATACTACTATAATACTACTAATAGGCGAAGATAAACCAGCAGTGACCCCTGGGCCACGGGGAGAGAGACACACAGTGAGTGTTATAATAATACTACTAATAATACTACTAATAATACTATTAATAATACTACTATAATACTACTATGTCTGTGTGAGTGTCATAATAATACTACTAATAATACTACTAATAATACTACTATAATACTACTAATACTACTAATAATACTACTATAATACTACTACTATAACACTACTAATAATACTACTATGATACTACTATAATACTACTATGTCTGTGTGTTATAATACTACTACTAATACTACTAATAATACTATAATACTAGTATAATACTACTATAATACTACTAATACTACTAATAATACTACTATAATACTACTACTAATAACACTACTACTATGTCTGTGTGTGAGTGTTATAATAATACTACTATAATACTAATAATACTACTATAATACTACTAATAATACTATAATACTACTAATAATACTACTATGTCTGTGTGTGAGTGTTATAATAATAATACTAATAATACTACTACTAATACTACTACTAATAATACTACTATAATACTACTATAATACTACTAATACTACTACTAATAATACTACTATAATACTACTAATACTACTACTACTACTATAATACTACTAATACTACTACTACTATAATACTACTAATAATACTACTATAATACTACTATTAATACTACTATACTACTAATAATAATACTACTATAATACTACTAATAATACTACTATAATACTACTATAACACTACTAATAATACTACTATAATACTACTAATAATACTACTATAATACTACTAATAATACTACTAATAATACTACTAATACTACTACTATAACACTAATAATACTACTACTATAACACTAATAATACTACTACTATAACACTAATATTAATAATTCTATAATACTACTAATAATACTACGATAATACTAATAATACTACTAATAATACTACTATAAT